CCCCCTCCCCTCCCCCAGGTGTGTGCTGCCCTCATGCTGCTCGGTGTGTGTCCATGAGGAGGAGCCCGCAGGATGCCACTCATTTCAGTTGCTCTTCCCAGGAGGTTTTTCTGTGATAAAAAGAAAAGAAAGGGCAATGCTTGGCTCATTTTCACTTAAATTTTACTGTCACTATTACAAAGGCTATAGACATCAGGGTCCCTGCGCACCTTTTTCTTTTTTTTAAATTCTATGGATTCCCAGATCCTGTCCCTATGGAATCAAACTTCTGGCCCTGAGCCATGGGCATGGTTAGCCAGTGGAACTCTGGTGCAGCTGTGGGACACGCTGATGTGGGGCTTCTAGGATGATCTGAAGGTGACCCCGGCGCTCCACGGAGCGATGGGCCTGCAGCCTGAGCAGGTCTGAGCCTGGAGTCCTGTGCTAGTCAGAGGGTGGTCCTTGCTGAGCAGCAGCAGCAGCACTGCCTGGGAGCCAATCAGGAATGCAGGTGCTCAGGCCCCACCAGAACCTGCGTTGCTAATCAGCAACCCTCCCCCCCCCGGGCCCTGTGTGCTCCCCAGGCCCACCTCCCGGCTGCCTCTGGGAAGAACTGCACGTCCTGGAAGCCTGCTAACCGCCCCCCCTCCACGCCCCCCCGGGCCCTGTGTGCTCCCCAGGCCCGCCTCCCGGCTGCTTCTGGGAAGAACTGCACGTCCCGGAAGCCAAGCCCAGCTCCTGCTCCTGGGGGCCTGGGGCCCGGGGCAGGGACAGGAAGGAGCCCCCTCGGCCACGCTGGGCTAACACAGGGTGGGCCCTGGCCCCTGCCTCCCTGGCTTTGGCCTGAAAGCCTGCTGTCCTGTATCACAACTCGGAAATTTGGTTGCCTCCCCAGCTCAAGGATGCTCAGAGCTTGCTGATTCCCTGGCTCCTTCCTCGCCTGCCATTGGCAGTGGCTCTGCCTGGCCAGGACGGGCAGAGGCACCACTCATGGAGGGCGGGGGCGGGGGGGAGAGCTGGGTCGGCGGCCTTTGAGGCTGAACACCTGCCTCACATCTAGTCAGTCAGCCTTGCTGGCACGGGGGCACCAAGCCCCTGTGTCCCTCCCCACCTCCCGTCTCACTCCTCCCGCTCCCATCAGGCTGGGAGCAAGCCCCCCCACCCCCACCCCAGGTCCCTGCAGCAATGGTGGTGGTGGCGGCGGTGGTGGCGGCGGCGAGGTAGGACAGAGAGGACAGGCCCGACCTGTCACGCCTTCCTCAGCGCTGGCTGTTGGCTGGTTTCCCAGCCGGATCCCAGCGTTGTTTGTGGCCCCGCCTGGGGCTGTGAGCGGGCCAGGCCGTGTCCCTGGTTCAGGGCTGACTGTGTTGTCCTTTTCTCTCAAGCAAGGGACAACCTTCCCCTCCAGTGCCTCCCCCGGCCCCCTCCCCCCAGCCAGGTGCCGATTCCCCAGGGGAGCGGGGTCTGTTGTCTCCGCTGGCCACGGGATGAGCCTGGAGGAGGGGCACACCGTGTCCTGCAGAGTCCAGGTTCCTGGGCCACCTCCCCTCCGGCCTGCCCGGGCTCTGCCACCTGGCCCGGGCCCAGCTTCCCAGCTGCTGTCTCAGGAGAGCAGCTTTCGTAGAAGGAACTGGATGTACCGAGGCCAAAGGGCTCTCGCTGGGTTCTTTATATAAAAGTCCTCCCTGGCCAGGGCCGCTGTGACTGGCTCCCGGGCCACCCGCCTCTTCTGAGAAACGCAAGCACAAGCCACATGGCTCTGACGTCCTCAGAGGCAGCGGTTTCTCCGTGCTCCGGGCTGGTGAGACCCGCCTCCTTGTGAGTTCCTGGGTCAGGGCCTGGCTTTTACATGGCCCAAAGCTGGGCCTGCCGTCTGGGGAGCTGCGGGGGAGGCTGAGCAGGGGCTGGCCAGCTGGACAGAGGGGGCCGTGCCATTCAGAGAGGAAGGTGCGTGCATGCCCGCTGTGTGGCCTTGGGAAATGATTCAGGCTTTCTGAGACTCATCTTCTCCAGTAAAAAGCAGATGGCAATACCCACAACGTTAGAGAAGGACAGGAGCTGATTATATACCTGGCACATAGTAGGTGTGTGTTACTACTCCACGCTGAGGAAGATGCGCCATGGCCTTCGGTCTGCCTCGGCCTCCAGGGTGAAATCCCTCTAAGTGCAGCTCCTAACGGCCTCCACGCATCAGGGGTGACTGGGGGGCCGGGCGTGTGGTGCCCAAGGTTCATTGTCACCTGCAGTCAAGGATTCGGTGTCCCCGGGAGTCTGCCCAAGTGCAGAAGCACAGCCCTGCCTCCAGAGCCGACCGGCCTCGGTCACGTGCCCAATGCCCGGGGCATTGTGGGTAGGTAGGCTGAGTCTCAAGGCTGCCCGGAATCCTGGCGTGCATGGCCCTCACGGCCTCTGCCATCCTGCCCTCTGTCCCATTGAGCGCGCTCTCTGTCCTGGCCCGCTGCCACCCCTTCAGGCCCTGCTCGTGGGCCGTGGCAGGAACCTCCGTGCCTCCTCCCTGCCCCTCTGCAGGCAAATCAGACAGAGGAGAGCGAAGGCCTCGGGGTTGGACAGACCTGGTCGGGTCTCAACTTGGCCACTCCCACAGCCGTGGGTTCTGTGGAAGTGGCCAACCAATGATTCTCTGTCTCGTCAATGTTTCTTTCTCTCTATCCCTCTCCCTCCCTCTCTCTCTAAAATCAATAAAAGGATATATATCCTATATAGTAAAGACATAATATGCAAATTGACCATCAACCCTCTCACAAGATGGCTGCCCCCATGTGGTCACAAGATGGCCGCTATAAGATGGCCGGCAGGGGAGGGAGGGCAGTTGGGGAGGACAGGGCAGACGCTCAACGCAGGAGTTGCTCCCTGGTGGTCAGTGCTCTCCCACAGGGGGAGCACCACTCAGCCAGAAGCTGTGCTCACAGCTGGTGAGTGCAGCGGTGGTGGTGGGAGCCTCTCCCACCTCTGTGGCAGTGCTAAGGAGCAGTGAGAAAGAGGGTGGTAAGGAGCAAGAAATCCCTGACTGCGAGAGGGATGTCATCTACCGGCTTAGGCCTGATCCCCATGGGGGATCCCAGACTGTGAGAGGGCACAGGCCAGGCAGAGGGACACCCCCCCAGTGCACAAAGTTTGTGCACCAGGCCTCTAGTGTATGTGTGTGTGTGTGTATGTGTGTGTGTGTGTGTGTGTGTGTGTGTGTATTTAAAAGTGGTGTTTAGGGTATTTACAAGGCTGCGTGCGACCATTAGTGCTATCGAATTCCAGAACGTTTCCATTCATTCATTGCTCATGTTTCTGCTTTTCAGATTCCCATGATGCGAGACCCCGGCTGGATTCGGAGTGTGTGGTCTTCAAACATTAATGTAAGTGGAGCTGCTGTGAATGTCCTAATGATATCGTTACATTTCAAGAGGAGAGAAAAGACTCTTAGACAAACTGTGGGTTATGGTCACGGGCAGATGCAGGCCAAGCCGGGACCTGGCCATGCAGCTCTGGCTGCCGAGTTGGTCTGTAGCGCTTTTCTCAGGGTGTGGTCAGCCCCAGAGGAGCCAGGGACGTTTCAGTCCCTTTCTGATCTCTCCCTGCGATCCGTCCTCCCCCAGGCCTGGTGCGATGTTGCTGCCTCTCCGACTAAGAGAGAGCATTCGGTGGCTCCCTCAGGCCAACAGGAGGGGCTCATATCAGTGCCCATGACATTGTTGCCTTGCCCTGTACCATGAGGCCTCCTCTCCCCCTCAGCCTCCTTTCCCCCTCAAGCTCCTCCCTGGCCCCAAAGTGTCTCTCTCTCTCTCTCTCTCTCTCTCTCTCCTGGCACCGAACCTGGGACCCTTCAGTCCGCAGGCCGACGCTCTATCTACTGAGCCAAACCAATCTGCACTCCTCTCCTCTCTCTCTCTCTCTCTCTTTTTTTTTTTTTTTTAGGGCATAAGGCACGGGGTTTTGAGGCCATACCAAAAGGAGGGATAACGAACTCTACTTCTCTACTTGCACACAGAACAGTCCAAGTGGACTGTAAGCCCCCAGAGGCTTCAAATAGTGTACAAGTTGGGGGATTATGATGTGTTCCAACCATAAAGTGAAAGAGAGGATGGAAGGAGATGAGGTTGGAGAAAGGGGTCCCAGGCTGTCCGCACATGGAGGTCATGACAAAGCCTCTCTTTCCCACACTCACTCCTCACTCTCTTTCTCCCTTTCACCAGGTTCACCTATTTGCTTTAAAATAACCCCTCAATTGAAAATTGAAAACAATTCAGGCCTTCCTCAGGATTTTCACCTTTATCCTGCGAACAATAGGAAACCATTTGGCAGACTTAATTAAATGAGTGGTCAGAGCAGGTTTTCTTTTTAAGTTTATTCTCATTGCTGCATTGAGAATGGTCTGAGAAGGAATGGACAAGAAAGATTTGGACAGAGCAGTCAGGTGGTGATAGGTAAGAGAGATCATGGTGAACTGAAGCGGTGGTAGCAATAAGATAGAAGGAGTATTGGACAGGT